TCCAAGTAATATTGTTATCGAATGCTAAATCAAAACCAATTCCTAATAATAAAAAGTGAAAAAACAATGCAGTGATTATCGAGTGCTTGCTGAATCTATTCCATTTATGAGTCCTCAGATGCTCCAGGGATTCCCTGCTCATCATCTTCATCTGTAAGTATAATGGATTATTTCTATATTTGTTTTAGTTATAACTTAGAATATATATTTTGATTGGTAAATCTAAGATATATTTACAATATATCAATATAAAATTTTAAATCATTAAAAAAAAGATTTGTTCGTGAGCTAGCTCGCGGTTCGTCTGAGCTGACTCGTTTAACTCGCCAACTCATTTAAGCTCGATCACTTAACACGTTTACTAAATGAGCCTAAAAAACGTAGCTCGCGCTCGTGAAAATTTGAGCTGAACTGAGCCAACTCATGAGCTAATGACTCGTTTGAGACCCCTAATAATAATAGCTAAGTGGATCTATTTTTCCGATCTCCCATCATTTATATTTGTTTACTAAAATTAGTCAATAAACATGTATATAAGTAATTTAGATTTAGGAAAGAAAATAAATTTAGAAGTAATCATTTAATATTAAGATATCTCAGATATCTAAATTTTACACGTATTATTTTTTTTTCTTTTACTTATTTGACTATAAGCTTACATTAATAGATAATTTAAATACAAATTAATTTTATAAATTTACAAAATTGTATGATATAGTTAAGTGTCTTTTTATTTTTGTATTGGCTATAGGCTTAATTGTTGTAAGTCAAATTCCTCAAAAACTCATCACAAATTTTCGATATGATAAATATTCTATCATATAGTTGAAACAAATTTTTAAACACAATTCATGTAAAATCGTCAAAAAAAAATTGTCACACAAAATAATAATCTTCGAAATAAATATTCTAAAAAGAATAATTTTGAGTTAAATATTTGTCTCCAATGAAAATCATTCCCGGATCCGCCACTGTTTATAGTATAATATACCCTAGATTTAGATTAAGATTTTCATTTTTTATTTCTTTGAAGCCAAGTAAGTCATGCATGATACATGTAGAGATAATTATAAAAATGACATTTTTGGTGTGTTACTTTGCAAAAATGTCACTAG